GGATCCACAAGTATAGGCAACACCAATCAGATGGGAAGAGATTGGGCAATCCTGATGAACTTGGGCCAACTTGGAGTTAAATGTTGTTGTTTTTTAAAAAATCTAGGCTTATTTATTTGGGTTTTTTTTTAATGCAAAACAATATGTATATTCTCCCCTTTACAAAGCAATAAAAAAAAATCACACCTTGAAGACGGGTGAGAATTTCTAGTACTGTTTTTTTTTTTAAATAACCCTGAAACTTGGGATACATTTAAAAAAAAACTTCAGCGGAAATTCTGCTGAAAACCACACAGAGAGTGAAAGAAGCAGCCGCCAGTCTGAAATATGTTTCCAGATGGTTTGCTGGATAAAGATCAAAGCTACCATCTGACGGTTACGGTCTCATGATCCCAGAGATTAATCAGAAGTTGCTACAAGGCTAAGAACAACTTCAAATAAGAAGTATCAGAGGATCTTGGGATCTTCTGGTGTGAGGCTGACGATATTTTGCAAAAGAGAGAAAGGCAGGGAGGGGAAGGTAGAAGGAAGCAAAGAACTGCTGGAAAAAGCAAATATTGTATTTTCAGAAAATGTTAAGCCACGCAAAACCAGGAAGATGTTCTTCAACTCCATTTATGAACGTGTAAAGCTGTCATTTTTGGAAACAACCAACAGAACAATTTCAGTATTATTTTTTTTTAAAAGGTACTGGTTACACTTCCACTTTTTCTTTTTTCAAGGATGTTTCTGGACTTGAAATATTGACTTGTTTAACATCTAAGTCACTAAAGCTAGAATGCCGTGGCAATAGCACTTAGACTTATATACTGCTATGTAGTGCTTTTACAGCCCTCTCTAAGCGGTTTACGGAGCCAGCCTCTTGCCCCCAATAATCTGGGTCCTCATTTTACCGACCTTGGAAAGATGGAAGGCTGAGTCAACCTTGAGCCGGTTGGGATCGAACTTCTGGCAGTGGTGAGAATGCAGTTAGCCTGCCATTCTGCATTCTCACCACTGCGCCGCCCTTAAAAAATGGTCTTGTGATGTTTCAGATCATCTGCAAGATCAGAGGGAGGATTCCAGACAGAGGAGAGAAAATTCAAACATCAAACATCCTCTTTCTCTGCAGTCTCTCCAGAAGCATCTGTAGGAGTTTCAAAAAGTTAAGACGGCAGCCAAGACTGGGCATTTGAAGTCCTGCCCTTTTTACACGCAGGCAAACCAAGATAAAGACACAAACACGTATTTCCTTAGCTTCTGAAGCTAGCAATTTTTCTAACCTGGGAAAAATGAGTTTGCTAGGAAATGGGTCTCCATCACAATAAACGTCCTCCAAGAAGCTTGAGGTCAGCTTTTATATGATGGTACTCTTTCGTTCCCCCACCCCCCCCAAAAAAACACCCCTGTAAAGAGATTATGAGACTGGATTCCAAAACGAGTTTATTGCTGAACAGAATTCTCAGCTGCTCTGCTAAGTTCATTTTTCTCCACTTCTGAGAGAAGTTCTATTCAGACCACGAGTGCAGCATTTAAAAGGAACAACGGAGCCCCCTTGCCCTGAATGCTAATTAGTCACGTGCATGCCCATAAAACACACATTTATGCAGGCATTCGTTTTTATTTCCATTAATAATAAAAGAAAAGAAAAGAAAAGAACCCATCCCGTCTTGCTATTTGCAATCCTCAGCAACCCAGTAGGATCTCTGGGTAAATTTATTTCAGGCCTTAAATGACAAAATAATGAATCTTTTCATCTACATTTTTGGCAGATGAAAAGAACCTGGGATTATACGTGAGAAAATTGACCACAACTCTTGGCTTGTAAAACCAAAAAAAAAGAAAGAAAGAAAGGAACATTGTAAGCTTTGGCAGGACCTCGAATTTAAAAAAGAAAGCAAAATAATAATAAAAAAGAGCCAGCATTATGCTAGGATTAGAGTCCCTTTATGTATGGGTTAACCTGGAGTCAGTCCAGCCCCAGCTGATTTTTTTTCCCCCCTTTGCTAGCTTTCAACATTTCCTTAGGGAGGCTAGACTGTGGTCTTCTCCAAGTCTTTAAAGAAGCAGCTTCCCATTCCTCCCCCCCTCCCAGTTAAAAATTAAATAAACTTGTCAGAGGTTCTGCTCAGAAGGAACAATGTTAAAAGCTCTCCAGAGAGCACTGGCTCCCTCTTGCTTTCAACTTCGGCCCAACTAAAACACTCCTCTCCTTTTTACATCGAGGAAGAGCGGATTCTACTGTTTTCATTTAAACTCAAAATGAGGTTCTGGCACCAGGCAAGCTCAAATCTTCTAAATCCCATTGATGTGAAAGAGAAGGGGACAAGCCACTTTCCCAGCGACGGGAATGAGGAGGAGATGTGATAATAATAATGATGATAAAGTTGGAAGGGACCTTGGAGGTCATCGAGTCCAACCCCCTGCTCAGGCAGGAAACCCTATACCATTTTGGACAAATGGCTGTCCAGTCTCTTCTTAAAAACTTCCAGTGTTGGAGCATTCACCGCTTCTGGAGGCAGGTTGTTCCACTGGTTAATTGTTCTAACTGTCAGGAAGTTTCTCCTTAGTTCTAGGTTGCTTCTCTCCTTGATTAGTTTCCACCCGTTGCTCCTTGTCCTGCCTTCAGGCGCTTTGGAGAATAGCTTGACTCCCTCTTCTTTGGGGCAGCCCTTGAGATATTGGAACACTGCTATCATGTCCCCCCCTTGTCCTTCTCTTTGTTAAACTAGATGGGGGAGGCCAACATTCTTACTTACTCCTCCTTTTCTTTGAGTCCTGACAATCCCACCCTCCCAGCGAAGAAACTGTACGGTGTTATTAATTATCCCACCTTGAGCTTCTGCAGGAAAATTAGAGGGCTGGGGAGAAATCTAAGAATCATGTTGGATTTAGCTCAAATTTAGCTTGAAGGATTTGAGAATTCAGGGATGTTATCCAATGCTCGATCCTTACGAAGGACCATTCCATGCCCACTTGCAATCCCCCTAAACTCACTAGATCAGAGGTCCCCAACCTTTTGAGCACCAGGGACCGGTTCTGTGGAGAAAGGACCGGAGAGTGCGTGGTTTTGTGTGCTGCCTGCATACCACGAATGGGGCTTTGTTTGTTTGTGCAGACCGGTTGTTGGCATGCCGCGGCCTGGTACCAGTCCATGGACCGGGAGTTGGAGACCCCTGGACTAGATGATGTTTTACCAGATTTCTTTCTGTAGGGGAAGAGCAAACAGGGTTGAGTTAAGCATGTCATCAGCTTAAGAATCCTTACATTCCCACAAATGGCCCAATCCCAATCCCTCTTGAATTCCGTTGACCCTTATCTGGCACCAATTTAGTACTGAACTTGACTAAATTCTTGTACCAATAAGAGAGGATATTTGTAGCTCTTGGTTGAAATTAGGGGGTCCTTGGTGCTCTCTGAGCTTAGTTGTACTCTTCATATTGGAGGAGTATCCTCCCCTCAATGTGACTGAGGGCATATGCCAATCCGGTATCTGATTTTTCTTTTAATATAAACAATGCTACGCTTTAATGGTTAAATGGCCTAGACATTGGTATTTGAACATAGATATTTTTAACATTATATTTTATTGGCTCCTACTAATCTAGAAGAAATGTTAATAGATATTGCTAATCCATATATCATATGACATACACTAAATAAATAAATAATCCCCTTAGATCCTTGAGTGTAGGCTTGAGTAAGTGTACTGCAACTTAATGGATGGCTCCGATTCTTTGCACCTGGCATTTTCATGGTTATCGCCAATCGGGGGTTAAAATAATAACGACCTATATAACAGTAAATTCATCTAAATAACCCCCTATATGAATACTGTTGCACTGTCCCCACGATTGAAAGTCTTAGTGTAGATCTTCCATCCTGAGGAACAATGGTATATTTTGATCCCATAATTGCATTGTTCAGGAGAACAGCCCTGCGTTCAAAACCACCTCTTCCTCCTCATTATGTTTTTCTTAACAAATCCCTTGAGTTTCTTTCCCCCATCTTTTTAATTCCTCTGCAAACATTTCAAGAAAAAACAATCCCTTACTTTGAACCGTCAATTCCAGAATTACTTGCAAAGATAAGCGGAAATTTATCCTGCCAGCATTTGCAATGGAAATATCTACCCATTGTTGTTGGCTGTAATTGTCCTTTTTGCATTCAGAACCAGAAATAGAGGTTAAGTGGGAGAAGGATGACTACATATTAAGCAAAAGCGATAGCATATCCTGCTTCTTAGTTCTTTCAAAAGACGTTGATCCTAAGATAGCTTGACAAGTGCCTCCAATATGACTAACATTCTACTCATTCAGATATTTATACATTCATATTCTACCTACAAAGGAAGTTCCATGTTGGGTTGCATTCCTTGTTCATTTCAGAAGGGAAACTGGAGGGGAAATTCACCTGAGAGGGAGGAACCACTATCCATATTGGGGGAAGAGAACTGGGAGAACAGATTTACTTCTACCCCATCAGATTTGGGGGGAAAAGGCCGTTGCTCAACAATTACACAGAAGCCTAGCAATAGTGGCAAATATCTGTAGCTCAGGTGTAGGATGAGGGTGAAGGTTCATTCTCTGAGCTTATGGGGTGGTTCCCAAATGTTTCATTACCAGTCTAGGTAACCTCTTCAGAGGAGGTTTTGGCCTAGCACTTAAGGCATTGGGCTTGTTGACCAACAGGTTGGTAGTTTGAGATCCAAGCAACGTGTTGACGGGGTGAGCTCCCGTTCTTGCCTCAGCTCCTGCCAGCCTAGCAGTCCGAAAGCATGCAAACACAAGTAGATAAATAGGTACCACTTCGCTGGGAAGGCAACAGCGTTCCATGTGCCTCAGCGTACAGTCATGCCGGCCACATGACCATGGAAGAGTCTTCAGACAATGCTGGCTCCCTCAGCTAGGAAATGGAGATGAAAACCGCCCCCTAGAGTTGGTCATGACTAGAGAGGGGAAACCTTTACCTTTTTTTTAATAGTAATCAGCAGGGGAGGGAATAAATAGGGACAAGATGAAATGTTTTATTTTTCGGATGCTTCAAAAGCCAAAATGTACATACAGGCAACGTTACTGGAGTTAAAACATGAGGATGTGTTTTCAGAAGGAAGAGCGTCTGCTTGACTTTCCATACATATATACGTTCTACATAAGTCCCACCTACTGGGTTAATACCAAGTTCTCTGCAGTTCAGTGCCTATCCTATTGTTAGTGCAGAAAGCTTCGGGGTTAAAAATTGGATTCACAGGTCAGGTCTCCCCCATTCGTAATAGTCTGGTCACTCATCTCCTCCTGTATCGGTGGCAGGGGAACTTTTGTTAGAGGGGTTTCGGTTTTGAAAAGGGAGTCTGTTTTGAGATGAGGAATGACATAGAACGATTTCTGGAAGGACTCTGAAGTGAAGTAGTAGACGAAAGGATCAAAGCAACAGTTGAGAGTGGCAATACACAGGGTGATTGGGTAGAAGGTTTTGGCGAATGTCTCCAGAGAACAGTTGGCTACGGCTTGAGAACGTACAAGGGCATAAAGGAAAAGGATGGAATTGTAGGGGACAAAGCACACCACAAAGATGGTGACATGCACAACTATCATCTTGAGCACTTTTTCTTTGTTTGTGCCAATCTGGGAGAGGGTGGCTGGCTTCCTGAGGGTCCTCAGAAGCAGCGATGAACATGTAAGGTTGAGCAGAAGGGGAATGATGAAGCCAACCACTTCAATAAATATTGTAATCTTGGATAAGTAGGTCTTCCATACGTCTTTGGGAAACCCTTCAAAACATGTTGTTATGCCATTGGTGGTATTAGTTGTGGAAAACAAGGATGCCAGGATCCCTCCACTGAGTACTAAAACCCATACTCCTGCACACACAATTGCTGAATTACGTCTTGTCCTGACCAAACGAGACCGGAAAGGGTAGACAATAGCGAGGAAGCGGTCCACACTGATGCAGGTGAGGAACAGCATACTTCCGTAGATGTTGGTCAAGAAGGCTGTTCCTGAGATCTTGCACAGAGGGTCTCCAAAGGGCCAGTTCCTGTTGAAATTGTAGAAGATCTTGAACGGGAGAGTGAACACAAAGAGCAAGTCCGAGACTGCCAGGTTGGTCATGAAAATGGTTGTCTCGCTCCGCATTTTGATGCGGAACCAGAAGACAAACAACGAGGCACAGTTGGTGATTAAGCCAAGGATGAAGACCACACTGTAGACAGCTCCATAGAGGTTGTACTTGAAGGAATCATCAATCATGCAGGTATGGTTGTTGCTATGATTTCCCATTCCAGCACTGCACTTGGTGAAGCAAAATTAAGTGGCATCCATGTACTGAAATTCAGGAATCCTCCACTGCTTCAAGAAGCACCTTCTGTGGGTTGAAAGCTTGCGGCCACAGAGTCATGATGTGAGCCTTTCTCCTGAAGAACACAAGAAGGTTGGGAAAGAGGTGAGACCCTCAGAGACTCTATTTAGTCCTACAGAACTAAAAAAAACACCGATAGAAGAGAATATTTGTAGCTTAAGGTTGAACTGTGGGGTCCTTGGTGCTTTCTGAACACGGTTGTTTTCTTGCAGATGTTTCATTACCAACCTAGGTAACATCACCTAGCACGGAGGACATTACCTGGCTTGGCAATGAAACATCTGCAAGAAATCCACCAAGTTCAGAGAACACCAAGGACCTCATAGAAAACACGTTCTCTGGCGTTCGGTTACAACGTTCCAATTAAATGAAAATTATTTTTTCTCCTTATCTTTTTCTGCATCTAAGGAACAGACACTTGAGTTGATGTAGTAGAGGAATTCAAACCCTCATTCACATTTTATTTCTGCTACAAGAATAACTCTCAGTATTTCTTTTAGACACAACTTTACTTTTTTGTTAATTTTTATGGGGTTTTTTTACTTGTAAACTGCTCAGAGTCGTTTAGACTCTGAGGTGAGTGGTGTATAAATTTGATAAAATAACAAACTAAGTTTAAAATTCAGTTGAGTAAAATATGTTGGTTCAATTGATATATATAGAAACCCAGCTATGGGCTTAGCATGCTGTGTGAATCAAACCATCACATTAACCCACTGTACTTGTTTACTAGTTATGTAAACAGAGCAACTGTGTTTTATTAACAGATACCTAGTTTGTAGTGTGAACTCAACCAGACCCTCAAGGTAGGCCAATCCCTCAATTGCAGCCAGACTGCAGCCAGTTCGTGTTTGCTATAGAAAATGTGCATGGATATTTTGAAAGTTATTTGAATAGAATCAGCCCAGACTTTTTGCACAGTGCTGTTCTGGACTCAAGTTTCTTATTGCAATGTTATTTGCTATAGAGCCTAATTGAGACTGAACAATCTCCGTTAGAATATCTGAAGAACTGATGAAGCTTCTTGGATGAGAAGAAAAATGTTTTCAAGAGGAAAAGAAGTCCAATTGCCTTTTGAAAAGCTTTGGAATTCCATTAGGATAAGAAAACGTCTCCTCTTTTTATCCTATTGCTAGATAATCATCTGGATCGTAACTGAAGGAAGCAGCTTTTTCTTCCGGGGAAACAGACCCTCTCCTCACCAAGATTGCAGAATTTATTCTCCTAGTTGGCAGATAACCCCACATAATTTTCCTCCCCGTGTCAATGACAAAAATGCTTAAGGCATCTGAAGGCAATGCTAGCAAAAGAGTTGGGTGACTGGCAGAAGGGAAACAAACATCTGGCACACAAAAGCAGAACAGACATTCCAGCTGCTTGTTTCCTGTTGTAAGACAGGCTCTAACATCTGACCCAGTATGTAAAGCAGTAAAAGGGAGGGGGAAAAAAAAGAACCACGTCAGTTGCCATCTGGAGGGATTTGAGGAGCAAATGTTAAGACAATGCAAGGCACCCAATCTCTCCCAAAGAATTTGAACCATGAAAGATTTGTTTGTAGTATTTAAGCCCAGGAAGAAGCACACACACAAAAAACCCCACAGCTAAGATGTATTCAGTTAAATCTGACGTACCGGGCATCATTTTTAACTTTATTTAAAAGCGGTATTAGAATAAGTGAATCTCAAAACCTGTGTATTGTTTAATTATTTCTCTTTTTTTAATGCTTCTGTGATCCTCTTAAAGATCATGGCGTTTTGATGATTGTGGGTATTGCTTTTTAAAAATACGCCAGTTTACTTTGCATGATAGCTAGATGGATGGATGGATGGAGATATAGATTGATTGACTGATAGATAGATAGATAGATAGATAGATAGATAGATAGATAGATAGATAGATAGTATAAGATAGATAGATAGATAGATAGATAGATAGATAGATAGATAGATAGATAGATAGATAGATAGATAGGTAGGTGATAGATAGATAGATAGATAGATGATAGATAGATAGATAGATAGATAGATAGATAGATAGATAGATAGATAGATAGATAGATAGATTAGATAGGTGAGTAGATAGATAGATAGTATAAGATAGATATAGGTAGGTAGGTGATAGATAGATAGATAGATAGATAGATAGATAGATAGATAGATAGATAGATAGATAGATAGGTAGATGATAGATAGATAGATTAGATAGGTGAGTAGATAGATAGGTAAGTAGATAGATAGTATAAGATAGATAAATAGATAGATAGATAGGTAGGTAGATAAGGTAGGTAGGTAGGTAGGTAGGTAGGTAGATGATAGATAGATAGATAGATAGATAGATAGATAGATAGACAGACAGACAGACAGATGGATGTAGGTAGGTACATAGATAGACATAGATAGAGATAATGATAGATAGATATACTGTAGATAGATAATCTTGTGTTTATAACTTTCACAAAAAAGGAAAAGATTTTTAGATTCTGGAGCAGGGGTGAGACATTTCTATGCCAAACCACATGGGAATACAAAACTCTCTTTCATAAACTACTAAATCATGACCTCCGGCTGCAGTGACAGCACTGCGTCTCTAGAGAAACATTAAAAAATACATTCTGTAGGCTGAAAATAGGCTTAATATAATTCCTGCCCAGGCAAGAACCCAGGTGAAAGTTTCTCTTCCTCTGAAGTACATTTCACTCCACTCTTGAGCTTTCAGCAAGAGACAAACCTTTCTGTGTTCCATTGTTTTATTGTTTGAGCACCGTTGATGTTGTTCATACCTTACTGTTGTATTTTTCTTTTTTGCAAAATACACCAGAACGAGCCATAAAACATTAACAAATGATAATGAACTCAAAGGCTTCCTTATGCTTTTGCAATCTTTTGTTGTTGTTATTAAATTTATATATCCCGCCTTTCTGCATGCGCATGTACTCAAAGAGATTCACAAAAACACAATATATAACAATAATGATAAAATGCATCTAAAATTCCTTTTTAAATAGTCCCTATAAAAGCAGAGATATTTCTGATGGCCCAATAAAGCTCCCTGCTATTTATGTTAAGTCAGGTTTTAAAAAATGCTTTTCAACTTGGTAGCCGATACATCTAAATCTGATGTCTCTTGAGAATGCTGGAATTAACATCATTTCTCCTTTTTTATTACATTGTACTTTTTGATGCATCACATTGTTTTAATACAGTGTTTGTATTAAAATTTGAAATTTCAATTGTTGAAATTTGTTGAAATTGTTAACATTCTATTATTTAGATAGCTTAAAGTATTGAAAATAGAGAAAGAAAAGTAAAAATTCTGTCAATATTAATTACAATTCAGGATGCCAATATTCCAAGCCCCAAAATACTTGGCGTTTTCATCCGAAATTAAAAACAGCAAAAAAACTGCTAAAATTCACATCAAATATTGGTTATATAGTAATGGTTTTGATCTTAAGCTAATTACTTAATATTAAATTCTCCAATGTGTTATAATTGGTTGATTGTTCAATCGATCAATATATAGGTAGACAGACAAACAAGATAGATGAAATAAATTTAATAAATTAAAATATCTAAATATATTTGAACAAGGAAAAGAAGGACACTGAAAAAAGGAGGATAATTAATTTTTATTTCCTTTTTTATATATTTGCTAACGTGAAATATTTGTAGCCATACATGCCTCCTTAAAAGCTGGACAATAAGTGATGGCATTTACATTTCTACATTATGAGAACAATTCTTGCTTAAATTTAGTTAAATTGATAGTTTTGCCATTGCTGCAGATTCTCTAAGTTTAAGTTCCCAATCAATTGTTGTCAGCTTTGTGTCTTTCTTCCAGTGCTTTTTTTAAAGTTTTTTTTATAGAACTGAAAGATAAAAACTAACAAACATAAATAGTTAGAAGGACAGATAGAAAGAATAAAGAGAAGAGAGAGGTTAGCAGAAAACAAAAACTATAGAAAAAAACACAGAAATATAAAAAAGAGACTTCCAACTCTTTTACAAAAGATATAAATAAAGCTTAAATTCAACCCTTAGTCTAGGACTACACTATAATATGCACTTTTCAAATGGACAATAGTTTTTATCAATCATTGAATCCTTATGTTATCATTTGATTCCTCCCCCCCCCCCCCGTTTCTTGCAAAAAGTCCACCAAAAGCTTCCATTTAAAGTTCAGTTTTCCCAGTGCCTTTTCTCTAATGGGAGCCGTTAATTTTGCCATCTCTGCCAATTCCATCACTTCTGTATCTCTCTTCCAAAATTTATTCTCACTGCTATAAGCACAGACCACATTAAAATTATGATATTTATTGTTGAGCATTAACACGCTTCCAAATCAACTTCCCGTGTTTCACAATGAATAAACATGTCCCTTAATTACATATATCGCATTCCAAATTGAATCCACAGGGCTAAGGATTTCTGGTTTCTATATATTCAACACCAGACGGGGTGCAAATAAAAAATGTTGGTTAGCAACCCCTGCCTTTCTGTTTACGAACCACTTTATATGTGCTACCTAAAGACATACAAAAAGCCTATTCTTTCACTTTTGGTTCCTTTTGTTAGGGAGCTAGCACAATAACTGTCCCTTGTCTGTGTGCCTGTGTCCCTGTTTCTCTGTTGCCCCAGCAACTGAAAACATTCACAAAGAAATTCAGTGGCGATGGTAAAGCACAATGCGCACCCTATTAGAACTTAATTCGTCCACTCCATATATAAGTTCAGTGTGGTAGTTTTCAGGGACTTTGTATTTAAACTCGGGCAAAGAACATATTTGTGCAATATTTTTGGTTTGCTGGCTGCGCATCTACAGTTCTATTTTTTTAAGCATGAAAGTGGAATTATCGCCCAAGACTTATCAGATAGCCTCTTCTGATCGCCATGGACACATGCACAAAGCAAGAGTTGATTTATCTTGAAGACTTTTATTTTCCCTTCCAATTGCCTGTGTCTTGGGGGGCTGACCAAAGGAAGATTTATATATATACATATCCCACCTTTAAGGTCACAGGCTGGCATTGAGGAACCAGCAGAG